CTTGTTGTCCTCTGCAATTGTTTGATCATTGTTGTTGAAGTCACATCCACTATAATCTTTTTATGCTCTGGTTTGATTTCATTCAAAGAAGCAATGCTTGCCTGACTGCACTTGAAAGGTGTCATGATGCGGGTATATAATGAACTAAATAAGACCTGTTGCTTGCTACTAGAACAGCCACTATAGGAATTGTTGTTGATGGGAACCCTTTGTGGATTTTTAGCAATTTGTTTAACTAAAGATTACTGAAAAATTCAAATATTTTGAATATAAAAGGGCAATTGTGATTAGGGGATATCTAAGCCATCTAACGAATTCTTTTTAATAAGAATTTCTTTGTTACCTCTTTCTGCTAGAGTGCTAGTTGGATGTGAATCGTTCTAACACAATTCAACTAGAGAACTAAATTATGGGGAAAACCATCATCTTAAACTGGCATGAGGCATGAATTGTTATTTCGATTATTTCACTCCAAGACATCTCACACTTTATAGTTTTAAGTTCTTAGTTTTGTTAAATGAGTGAATTTGATCAAATATCATACATTCTATATTTTCTAATAATGGTGCAACATTCGATCATTGAATGGATTTTATTGATACTGAATTTCTATGCTTAATTTCTATTTTGGTGTCAATTAAATTATTTTGTGGAAGAATTATTGTGTTATTTATTTCCCAAAAACCAGAAGAATACTTGTTTAAATTAATGGCCTATGAACTATGATTTGGTTTACAAGTGTAATTTTTGTGAATCATATCCTATAGTCGCATTAGGAAACTAAACATTTAGCGCATAAAAACCCATCGCCTATCAAATTGGGCCCGAGCCCAAGAAAATAGCTGTTTTCTCATAACCACGTAAGGTATGCCATAGCTTGTTTTCCTTCATGGTTGGGAGGAAGTAGTCAGTGGAACTCCGGGAAGTGAATTAAAACTTGGAAAAGAGTACAATCGTTGAATCCTTACAAAATTCCTTTTGTGGTTCATTTTTCTTACCAATCTAACTCGCATAAAATCTAACTGCTCATGCCTTTCTCAATGTGTTGATTTGCCTGCATTTATTTTATTGCACTAACTCCCTAAATTTGCGTTCCAAGCCTTCATTTATATGCTGCTCGTTTTCCTTTATTTACTTAACCAAAATACTTATTCATTTCTAATAATCCTCACATATTTAAGTGTGCTTGTTTTCTTTTAATTACTTATGTGCATTGAATTTTATTTGCAAAAGTTGCTTACAACAATAACTAGCTGTCCTATAACTTTAGTCCATTCCAATGCTTGGAATGCTGATAATTTATTTACTACACATTATTTGACATACTTCTACTTTCTAATTTTCAATTTCACGGAAATTGTTAAAAATATCCTACTCAATTAATCCTTTTTTGTAGGTATTGTTGCCCAGCAACAGTCTACACAATAGATTATAATCTTAAATCAGGTATTATTCATTACTGTCGTGCTTCTCTCGAGTATGATCCTACATTGGAAAAATAAGTTTGTTAGATACATGAATCTTTTAAATGATTAATTCTATATAGTATAATGGCGGCATGAAAATGATAATGTTTCCATGCAGATTATAAATGTTTCAACCATAATATCAAGTGAAATTGTCACGTCTTAAGAAATCAAAAATAGCGAAAAGTGGAGAAAAGAGTGATAAGAAGAGGAAATAAGAAAATCCGAATCATAAAGAGGTTAATGTCGGAGGGCAGCTAAGAAAGAAACATAGCAAACTTCAGAAAAACAAGCACTTTGATTGGGAGATAGCATTTAAAGAGAGAATTATAAATTAGCCAAAAAGTAGATTTTTTATTCAAAATTTCAAAAGTAAGCTTCTCCAAAACAACCAAACTTCCCTTATTTTAATAAAGAGCAAAAAACTTATTCACTTTCACACTTATGTAATCAAGCTAAGCTTTTTCCGACAATGATATAAAATATCAAATTGATTAAAAATGCTCATTTTCCTTTTTTTTTTAATTATCAATAAAAATTGTGCCAAACAATATTCTTTTCTACTTTAGAATGTCGAGCAAAAAAAAAAAATTCTACTTTAGAATGTCGAGCTAGAATGTCGAGCAAAAAAAAAAAAAACATATACATTCCTTTCTTTCTCTAACTAATCTTCTTTTATTCGCTCAACTCCGAATCATAGTGCAAGAAAAACATGACCTTTATAAGCTAAGTTAATAGAGGGTTGACCAAAATTAAGATAAGAATGAACTAAAGTGTAGCTATTATAAATCCGTCCACTAAAATTTGCCAAATAAATCGAAATTAACTTTAAGACTAACCAGATTGACACAGAAATACAGGGACTTAAAATAAAGGATTAACATATATTATCATCACAATAAAACCACAAACCTATCACTAAATGATTAAATATATGTTAAGACAAGATAAAAACCATTTAAATATTGGCATTCTATAAAACAATAACTTTATCTGATTAAGTTCTAAGGCTTCAACATTTGCTTATATTAAATGCCCAACATAAATAAAAGATGCCAACAAAATAAAATGGGAAAAACTTAGGTTGATTTATGCCATCAGCATATTTAGGGGCCAACATCGGAATAAAATACCATAAAATAACAGAAAAATATATTTAAACAAATGTCTTCATTGAAATTAGAATGCAATTGAGGGGCCAGTGAAACAAAATCAAAAGCAAATAACCGATGTTAAAAGTAGGTTGTCTTCATCAAGAGATATAAAGCAAGCCTTGTCTGGATCAGATAGATCAAATTGTCATGCACTGAACAAATTCAAGTCAAAAACAAAGTACAACTGTAAGAAAACTTGACTTAAAATAAAAGAAAGCCACAGGCAAAGTGATAAATATTTGATTGATCAAGTGCAAATAAAAGTTCAAAGGTTGTACACTGCATCTAGATTAAATGATTGAAACTTCAAAACAAAATGCCATTGAAAATTATAAATGGGAAATTAGCATGCCAAACAACAACAGTTTTCCAAAGATCTATTTTTTTCTTGTAGTGAAAAACAAAAAATTAACATCAAAAGTGTGAAGAAGATGGTTCAACAACTCTATTAGTTTGGAAAAAAATTCCCCATGAGAATAAAGTAAAACAATGATAATAAGAAAAATAAAAAAGGCAAGTGATTCAATACTAAAGCCTACCTAAGTCAAAGTCTTCTTTTAATGTTGTAAAGGGAAGGGTGCATCAATAAATATTTCACTAACAGTATGTTTAAATTGCGCCAACAGAGGGGTAGCAGTAAACGTAGAATGGCTGTGAAAATTCTTCCTAATTATTCTCTTTCAATTCTATCTTTGCTTCTAATTTCTCAAACAAGAATGTGCCAATTAACACTAGGAAATTCATAAGCAATATTGAAAACTAATCAACACCTTCCAAAAATTTATTCTTTTACTTCTAATTTTATTTTATTAAAAAGAAAATCTGGACAAACAGGCCGCTTAAAGTTCATCATACCAATGTCCAATTTTGACAAGAACCATATGATAAAAATAGCTATGGTAAAACACAAACTCATTATGACATAATCATAATCATATAGCATGTTCAAAGATTGAAGATAAAAAAATATAAGCGTATTAGAAATTAGAATACAGAATAATAATAATAATAATAATAATAATAATAATAATAATGAAATAATTCAAAATAATATAGATTTCAGCTAAGCCGTATCCTTTTACGCAACTACTACCAATGTTAGAGTTAAGCCAATTTCAATTTGTTCCCAATCCCCTCATATCACTTCAATAAAAATAAATTAGATAAAAATTCAAATACTACGGTTTAGGTCGACCTAAAATATCACGATGTTATTACCGCTACACATCTTATAAGAGCACACGTTCACAAGCTTCAAGAAATTGTGTAAACTTCCCAAGAATAATAATGATAAAGCATAAACTCCTTATGACAGAATCATAATAATCTAACATGGTCCTTGACTTAAGATAAATAGAAATAACACTGCAACATAATACAGAACAAAAAAGGAAAACAATGCAATAATCCAAAATAATCTAGATTCTAGCCTAGATATATCTTTTTTTAGCAACAATCACCGACATTAGATCAAAGTTTAAGTCAATTCATCCACAATTCCTACATATAAGTTCAATAGATACTATATTGTATAAAAATTCAATGACATGCCTTCATCTAACCATACGCATTAAGTTGCCATTATCCCTCCTCGATCACTTGGGGAATACATACACAAGTTCACAGACTCCAGGATTGTGTAACAGACAAGTCTAGTTTTGTAAACTGAAGTAGTTTCTGTAATCCATGAAGAAAATTCACAAGAAAAAACCAAATAATAATAATAATAATAATAATAATAATAAAAATAATAATGAGATGAAATGTAAGAAATTGTAGGTTAATTGCACAAGGCTCTATGTCTGGAGGAAATTTTCCTCCATAAGAAAGAAAAGAGTCGTCAATCTCCAAAATGTTTCTTCACCAGAGCTGTACTTAAGAAATGGATATGTAATTCACTTCTAAAATATTAATACAACTCAATGGAAGAAGAATCCATTATTTCACATTAGCTTCATGTAAGTTGCTTAAAATTTGTAGAATTTAATAATACTCAAATGCCATACTTCTCACGGAAGTTGCATTAGCTGGCAATTCAGATCTTTTGTGGAAGACTAAAATAGCGAAAAAAGATAGAAAGAAGACTCTGAACAAGGCCTGATTACTCCCCCATTTCATGCATGTTTGCTTCAACTTTTTTGTTAGCTTTAATGTTCACTTTGTGGCAGCTTTCGCTAAAAAACAACTCTTACTTCATTAACATAATCTTCAAAATGTTTCATAATGTAACTTTTCATCAAAAACATCCACCCAACATTATGATGAGAAGAAGCCCAACGAAACGAAACCTTAATCGTTACATAAGCATTTATGGTTCAATAAATTAGTTTAAGCTGTCCCACCTATGGAAATGTAGAGAAAAACAAGTTAGATAAGCAACCTGAGTATTCATGTAGCTCATGCCTTGCGTAAAAGAGCCTTGTTGAAGCATCTGCATGGTTTTAATTACAAATCCATTAAGCAAAATAAATGAAAATTATCAGCATACTAGATTTGATTACAAAACTAATCAAGGGATAAATATACCTTCACGTCTCCTTGCATGCTTGTACCTGGTAGGTTTCCACCTTGAAGACTACCAGCATCTCTCTTAATAGAGTTATCTGCTCCCTTGGCAGACCCCTTGCCATCTCCCTGCCAAATTTGGAGCATTTTTTTTTTTGGAAGTTAAGAGCAAAAGAACAAAATTAGTAGCTGCTGGAAAGTCGCAAAAATAAGTATCAAAAAGCTCAACTATTGTCAACAAGATATCTTTGAAATTTAAAGCAGCATATATCTAATGTTTGACCTTTGCATTGGCCATTTAAAATGTTACATAAAAGTTTATGAGCCATATCAGCCGTAAGTAGTGCTATACTTTTTTTGGGACAATAACACACAAACCACTTAAATATTTAATATCACATAAAAAATAGCTCTATTATCACTTTTTAAAAGTGAAATGCACCTTGTCATCCATAGGTTTAAAATACCAAGTGCTATGTATGTAAATGTGAAAGTTTAGGTGTGAGATACCTAAATACATAAGAATTGTGTGCTCCGTGCATAAATTTTCATACTTTTTATGTTGAAAATGCAAGTAACGACATCAACAAAAGCAAAAGGAGCAAAAAAATCCCAAAATTTTGGGATTCTATTCGAGACTCTGGCATGAATCTTACTTTAAAAGAAGGCACCAAAACATGAAAATGTAACCCTATTTTTCCTTTGGCAAAATCGCATTAATATTAACTCCTTAACATGCGAATGGGGCATTAGACATCGCAATACAAATAACTGATTTAAAAAACCTAGCCGTGGGGCGAGAAAGATAGGTTGATTACCTCTATCTGCCATTTCGTCGCATCCATTCCAGAGAAACCACCGAGTGAACCAAAACGGCAAAAAGAAACGGCATCAGGTAAACGATTAAAAAAGCGAAAATGCAAAAGATTGGTCTATCACTACACCAGACACCAATTACAAACTACAACTCTAAAAAGAACTCAAAGCTCAAAGTAATGGCTGCAGAGTACTCACCTCCCTGTACTTCTGCAGATACAGCTTAAGCGGCTCGATGTAATCCTCAAACCCTAGCGTCGCCATTGCCCACAGTAGATCATCCCCATTAATTGTCTTCCTCTTCTCCCTCTGGCACTTATCGCTAGCCCTGTCAGTGTCAACTAGCAAAAAACGATTAGAGCACATACGGCAAGAAGAAAAATACCACATTTCTGAAACAAATAGGAATAGGAGGTCTGACTCGCTGGTGATGAAACTGATGAACTCGGAGATGCATTCCTGGCACGGTCTCCTTCGCGTCCTTAGCAATCTTGCCATTAGGAGGAAGCGCCTTCTTCATGATGCGACTGATGTTGGCGATGGGAAGGAACCTGTCCTGCTCACGGACATTGGATTTCGGGCTATGATCCCCGCTTTCGTGGCTCCCGCCACATGGGCTTGCCGGCACCTCCGCCGCCATAGGCGGTACCCTAGATCCGCGACGCCACGAGGAGGAATCATTAACATGAACCTTTTTGGCGCAGCGTAAACCCTAGACAACCGATCCCTTGGTTCAAAAAGCGTACCTCGCAAAACAAGAGCGCAGCGCACGAGGCGGAAAGGGAGTTGTATAAATTGAGATCTTCTGATTTCGGTTGCTTCGCGCTGGGGAGGGCAGGAGGGAGATCGGACGCTGGAGAAGAGAGGAGGGAGGAGACGACTGGGATTGAGAGATCGAGGAGGGAGACTCAGATATCTGCACCGTCCGTTAGGTACACCATTGACCTTTTGCTCGTTATCTCTCCTCCCCCTTTAATTTTTGGAAATTTGTCGATTTTCGCTCTCTAGTTGGGTAGAGAGAGACAAAAGTGCCGTACAAGGCGACACGTGGAGCACATGGAGGGCCTGCTTAGAATCGTCACATTGCATGAGGGTTCTGCCCTCATAAATCAAAATGGGCATTTCTTTTTAATGTACATGTCATTGTTGGGAAATTTACATAGGTAACAGTCAATTCTTATGATTTTATATATTTCACATCTAAATATCCCAAGGAAAAGTTGAATTTGACCCTAAAAATATAATAATTAGTGATATTTCTGCCCTAATACAGAAGTATGGAATGTCATTCATGAAAATATTGAAGTTTTGGGGTGAGTTACATGACTCCATGGGAATTAATGTCCCCCTTTTTTTTCTCACGATGAGGTTCACACCAGTTCTACTTAAATAAAATAAAATATATAATTAAAAATATCGAAACATAAAATATAACTCAATGCTAGGAAACAATTCTCTAAAGAGCAAATTCAATAAAACAAATAGATAAAAATAGAACATAATTTATACAGTAGTAAAATTTACTCAACTTTTCGAAAATAGAGTAAGAGGCAAAAAGACAATCCAAAGAATTAGGACGATGAACCGGCATATTCATGTTTCACCAAAAGGATTCCAAAAAACTGGTAGTCCTATGAAATGGCTTCAATTACCAGAGCAGAACAATCCCGACAAAAGTCTGTCGATATTGTAGGCTAGGTTAGGAGGATACTGACTCCCACTCCAGAGCTCTCACTTCCCTTCCTCTGAATGCTAACGCTCGCTTTAGTTCTTAAACACTAAGATCAGATTGGGGATTTTAGTCTGTCACCCTAAAAATCTTCAATTTTACACCCAACAATGTATATTTTCGTATTTATTTGCACTTAATTCCATAAACGAAATACTCCTTCATGTACTTAAATGTGATTCTCAGTCTACTATTTCCCGAATCATATGTTTCACAATATATTTTAACAATTCAATTGGTCAAATTGAAAAGTAAATTAAGAACGGATTTGAAAAATCATCACAATTTATTTTATATTTTAACATTGGCACATTCAAATTATCTCTTCATTTCACCATATCTCGGAGTAGGGAGAAAAATAAAGGTAACTACTCAGACTTCATGAGAAAGATACAACAAAACTCAAATTTCATATATAAAAGAAAGTTCATACAACAATAATAAATAAACAACACTTATCTGAAACTCTCTCTCAAAGCAAATCCCTTGTAGCCTCTCTTAGGAAATCTAAAAAGAAGAAATCTCTCACTGCTCTCCCTCTCCAACACTCTTAGAGAAGAATTCACACTTAAACTCACTACAAAAACTTAAAACTATAAATAGAGCCTATGGAGCACGATAAGGGCGAAGAGAGAGGTCTTTTCTGATCAATTTTGGCTTTAAATAGAGCCTAATGTCGGTTTTCTAATATGTGCATCCAATAACTCTTAAAAATCGTCCAAATTCGTCGAATCTTCTAGAAATAGAGGCTGCACCGACACTGGCGCAATCGACACCGATTCTGGCGCCATCGGCGTTAGTGGTCATTTAATTAGATAGGGCTCACTGTCAAACGGCACCGTTGCCGCCCAGTCTGGCGCCGTTGACACTGAAAAATTCTTCAAAAACTTCATGTTGACTCTAAATTTTATCATTTTTGCTTCAAGTCCTAAAAATCAACAACTTACAAAAATCAACAACTAGTCCTAAAAATCAACAACTTACAATAAAACATGAAAAATATCTTCCTTTAAAGTGCAATATCACCAAAAATGAGTATAAAATATGGGTCTAAAAATGAATATATTTTTAATATATCAGGAAGAACTTGAGATAAGTTGTGTTTATTTTTTATGGTTGTATGATGTTGCTTTTAAATATAAAATCCTTGTTTTGTCGCATATTCCTCATGAGTTCTGAGTATATTTCTTTGACTTTCTCCTTGTAATGAAATGTGGTGATGTCATGATTTAGATTGGTTGTGCCAACTTCATGTCAAAATGTTGTGATGATTTTACACTTAGTGTTTCATTTACTTTCTGATCTGGTCAATTAAATTGTTAAGATTTGTTGTGAATCATATGATCCGAAAGGGCTATGTATTCTACAATAATAGTGAAGATCACATTCAAATCTCATGGATGGTAAAGTTCATGGGGATTGAATGCAAATAAATAGGAAAATATAATTTATTGGTCGTAGAATTGGAGATTTTAGAGTGACAAGCTAAAGTCCCCAATTTGGCCCTAGTGTTTGTAAACTAAAGCAAGCGCTAGTCTTCAGATGAAGGGAAGTGGAAGCTCTAGAGTGACAGTCAGTATCCTCTTAGCCTAGCTATTGATTTAGGAGATAAACCTAAGATTAGTCAATGTTCTTTACAACACTCAAAAGAGGGTAAAGAATAGGAATGCTCTTATTTGGCACAACACAATATCCTACTAATCTTTATCTTTCACTCACCATAGTATCATTGTAAGGGGGAGGACGTCTTCTCCATATTTGAAACTTGCAACAAAAAAACTTAGTTTGGCGTTAGATAACTTGCTTAGAAGCTTAGTTAGTACTTTAATGAACTTGAATATTTAATCTTCTTTATATTATTTTGACTTTACTATTTTCATTATGTGCATTGTGAATTAGATATTGGCTTTCTGCACTACATTTTGCATTTTTGCATTTTAATTTAAAGTTCCGTTGTATTCCCTGTGGGATCGATAACCAGGACTCCATTAGAGCCCTGTATTAATTGAGCGATACATATATTTACATTCATAACTGCGACAAAAGAGAAGATATAAAAATTAAATTAGAAATCGAGTATTTAGAAAGTCACGACCAAGTTTTTGGCGTCGTTGTCGTGGAATATAGAAACGACAACAGTAAAATTAGTAGTACTTAAAAAACCTTTATTTCTTAATTTGCAATTGTGTGTGCTTACTTGCTTTAACAGTGTTTTGTGTGTTTTTGTATGCGTAGTATTGGATCTGAAGGATTAGTGCCTTAAAATTCAGAGTTAGAACTTACTATTAGAAAAATTCAGAAGCAACAAAAAGAATTTAGAAATTTGAACAAAATGACAAACAACTTAAATGAAAATAAACATGAACCTAGACCTTTAAGAGATTATGTCAACCCTACATCAGATGAAATTCACTTTACCATTCAAAATCCTGATATAACTACTAATTCATTTGAACTTAAACCTGTTATTATCCAAATGGTACAAAATAATCAGTTTGGTGGGACATCGAATGAAGATCCTAATTTATATCTTGCTAGGTCTCTTGCTAATTTTCTTGGAATATGTGCTACTTTTAAATATGTGGGAGTGTCGAATGATGTCGTTAGACTTAGATGTTTTCCTTTTTCACTAAGGGATAAAGCTAAGGTGTGGTTAAATTCATTAGCAGTTGAATCTATTAAAACTTGGGAAGAACTATCACAAACATTTTTGTCAAAATATTTCCCTCCATCGATATTTCCCTCCATTTGTCAAAATATTTCCCTCCATCGAAAACTGCTAAGCTTAGAAATAATATTACATCTTTTTGTCAGTTTGAAGGGAAATCAATATATGACGCTTGGGAAAGATTTAAAGTTCTCCTTAGCAAATGTCCACATCACGCTCTACCAAATTGGTTAATAATTTAAACATTTTATAATGGATTGGTGGGATATCTTAGATCGATTATTGATGTCGCTACTGGTGGATCACTAATGTCAAAACCTTTTGAAGAGGCATATTCTTTAATAGAGGAGATGGCTACTAATAATTTTCAATGGCCCTCTAAAGGGGTGAATCCTAAAGAAGTAGCTAGTATTCATGATTTTGATACAATATCCATGATAGTTGCTCAAATTGCTGCCCTCTCAAAGAAAATAGATCAATGTGAAATAAACTATTCTCAAATGCCTCCGGTGTTAGAGGAAAATTCATTTGGACAAATAGTGGATTCTCAATCATCCTACAAAACCTTGAATGCTATAAATAATAGACCCAACAATTCGTATTCAAACTATTATAATCTTGGTTGGAAAAACCACCCAAACTTAAGTTAGAACAATAGTAATACCGCTATTGCTAATCTATAGTGGGGGAACACTTTAGTGAACTCATTGGGAAATTTGAACAACCAGGGAAACACTAATTATAGACATTCTTATCCTCCAGGTTTTAATAGTAATTCACAATTTAAGGAGAAGAAATTATCAAGAAATTAAGAAATTATCTATGGAAGAATTAATTTTAAACATGGGTAATCAATTACAAAGTCAAGGAGCAGCAATTAAAAAATATGGAAACTCAAATGGGACATATGGTTATGTGCTTAGTAATAGACCTCTAGGAACTCTACCTAGCAATGTTGAAATCAATCCAAAAGATCAAAATAAAGAACAAATTAATTATATTCAATTAAGAAGTGGAAAAATCAACTACTGCAAAATCAAACTCTTGCAATGGAAGTATCCATCTAATAATCTTGGTTTAGGATCCCTTCTTTTGTATTAAGTATTTAATAGCAGAATGATCTGTATGCACTATACATTTAGTTCCAATTAAGTAAGGTCTAAATTTATCAAAGGCATAAAGAATAGCGAGTAACTCTCTTTCAGTAGTAGTGTGTTAATTTGAGCATCATTTAGAGTTTTACTAGCATAATATATTACTTTAAAAACTTTGTTGTTTCTTTGTCCTAACACAGCCCCAATATCATAATCACTAGCATCACACGTTATTTCTCCCAATCAGGTGAAACTCTTATAAGTGCAGCGATTAATTTTTCTTTCAATAATTCAAACGCCTTTATGCATTCCTCATTAAAATCAAATTTTGTGTCTTTTTCTAAAAGTTGGCATAATGACTTAGTTATTTTAGAAAAAATTTTTATGTAACGTCTGTAGAAACAAGCATGTCCTAAAAAGCTTAATACTCCTTTAACATTAGTCAGAGGTGGTAATTTTTTAATGACTTGAATTTTTGCAGGATCTACTTCCATGTCATTTTTATAAATT